AGAAGCTTCTTTGCAGGCATTAGGGGCACTCCCAGCATTTAAAGTGCATTTTAATTATGCCATTTAGACAAACCTGCAAGTTGGTTGCATTCTCCCCTCCCTTACTGAGGACGCAGGCCACCACCTACTAATTTAACTGCCTGAAATCAATCTGTTGCTGTGGTGAAGTACTGATCTGTACTTGGAAAAGTACTGAAGGTCTTTCCAGAGCTGCTAGCCACTATGACAGAAGTAACAAAGCCCATCTGCAATGCTTTGCAGGGACAGCTGCCGGTTAGAAAAGAACACAAAAATAGTGAAAACCTATCGCAAAGCAATTCATACTGAAAGGTAATTCAAGGCCTCTAGTTCCAGCCCTTGCTCAAAAAAAGGCTAATTTCAGTTGAACACTGAACAAGAACAGAGATCACTAGCTCTCTAAGCACACATTCCAGAGTCTGACGATCCTCATGTGAAGACTTTTTCTTTATGTGCTGCTGGAGGGTCCTTTCGTGAAGTTGGTGTCTGTTTCGTCTCGTGCTAGAAGCACCTGGCTTCACCTTCTCTATGACTCCCACCCACTAGGCAGCTGAAACCAGCAGTTAGGTCTGCCCCTTAGTCTTGTCTTCTCCAGGCTACAAACCCAGCTCCCTCAGCCTCTCCTCACACACCACATGCCCACGATCCTCCTCAGTGGCTTTCTGCTGGACCGGCTCCTGTTTGTCCATCTACCTGTACTGCAAAGTCCCACACTGGCTAGAGTACTCTAGCTGGAGTGAAGCGTGATACTTGCATCTTTGCACATGCTGGCGGACAAGTCAGCAGTGTGCCCTTGCAGCAGCGAAGGGTGACCGTGCACCGGCCTCCACTAGTAAGAGCAGGCTGAGGAACATGATCGTTCACATCTGCTTGGTAGCTGTGAGGCTGCATCTAGAGTACTCTAGCCACCGTGGCTCAAGTCCTCCAAGAGAACCGGGGCCTATAATCATGTTTCTTCCTGTTGTCTCATGGCTTTGTCCACTTCTTCATCTTGATGGGGCAGGTGTGCTGCTGATCCTCACTGTAATGCCCCTCCCCTTTGCTGTCCCATAATCCTGACCCATAAGCACTTGATAGGGCTGCTGCCCTCTCACAGCAGAGCTCTGTGCATTCAAGCCACACCTTTGCAGAAACGCAACCCGTCCACCTTCCCTACCCAGCCTTCGTAAGGAGCGTGCGCTACAGCACCCCAGTTGCATGATGACATTCCCGCGATCCGAGGGAGATCACAGCCGGCAATGCATACAGAACTCTCGTTTCACTTTCTCATCCATGTTGTGTATTTGTGTGCACCTGAGATGAGCCCCCAGTCACACGGCTTCCGAGCTATCCCATATGCGTTTCCCCATGCTGTCCCCCCATTTATCTGCTAGAGAAAGCATGTGTTAGGTTAACTTATTACTAAATAAAGCACTGTGAAGGCATTCAAGCCTGCCTACACTAGCTAGCAACAAGTTGGGGTTTTTTTGTTTTTAAACAAGCTGCTATTTTAATTGTCATTCAAGACTGATTCATGGGAATGTTCTACAAACTTGGAAGTTTCACCCTGCTAGCCATTGATGCACCTCAAGCTTCCTAAATCTATTACCTTCTGACTCTGCTAGAGATAGGACTGGTTTCCACAATTTGGCCCCCGTGCAGTATTTAGGAACGCAAGAGAAAAGCTTAGAACAGTCTTTGAATCAGAACAAGTGATGTTAGAGTACAGCCTGTAACTCCTCTAGAGCTGAGACCCCTGCACCTTTCCTATGACAGGACATAGACGTATAAGAGGTTCGGCCACAGTATACACAGAGGACTAAAAGTGTCAGCTGGAATTTCGTATTTGCGCAGTGCCCAAGTGTCAGATAGTTTCCCCCCCAAAAAATACAAAAAATTACAAAATATATTCAGCACGAGTTCCCTTCTCAGGGCATAACAAGCACTATCTTACATTCTGCCACATTTCTCAGACTTTCCAGTATCTGAAAAAAATTACATCCTGAGGTTGCTTGCTGTATTACAGTCAATCGTATTACACAACTAATAGATGTATTTGTACTTCCTGTCTCTGCAACTACATTTTAATTTCAGAAATATGCTGACTATAAGGCAAGGAGCAAGAACCTCATGTACTTGCCTTCTGAACACACCGCACAAGAGAAATAGGGCTGTATCTCATATGCTTATGACTGGTAATTATTTTTTTAATCATGGAAAACCAGCCAGACATGGGCAGAACCCCACGTCTTTCAAGACAAACAAGTATCAGGAACCCCTGTTTTCTTAGTTCTCATTAGGAGCTGTTCCAGTAGATAAACATTATTTTATCTGAAGCTTATGCACAATGCACACATTAATCTGTGTTGTTACTCTATCTGTGGTTAATATGGACTAGTGGCATAACATTGTGTTATATTTATCCAGAAGTGTTAGCAACACATTGCAGGTTACAAACTACTGAAAGATGATCCATTTATCTCCAAAAGATGACTTGCACCACCTACAGGTCTTAGCAGAGAGTTGCAAAAGTCTAAGTTTTTTAAATAAAGTCAGACATCCATTCTACAACACTGGAATAAAAGTTAGGTCAAAATACCTCCCAAATAAGCAAAAACACAGGCTTACTCCAAAACACCGTCATCTAACATCAGTTCAACCCGGGTAGTTTAGCCTAGTTTGATAAGAGGTTTGCACTGATTAGTGTTAAATGCGGTGCTTTAACGTGTCACACTTAAGCTAAGAAACAATCAGTAACTCACCTTGACAACAAAGGAAGCACTGCTTTCCTGTGAACAGTAAAGGAACAGAAGTCCAGATATTTCCTTCTCAAACTATCTATACACTCAAAATTACAGTTTGTAATTCTTAAAACAGCCACTATATACAGTGGAGCATACAGAAAACAACTTGGCAACCACCGATCTTTCCAAAGATACTTGAATCTGTCAGTACATCTCATCAGTCCCACGAACAGCTTCTCTTATTATATTTGTTCCTTTGGATTAAGAAAAAAAAAAAAGGAACAGTCCTACACACTTTGAACAGCATTAAGATTAGGAAGATGGCACACCAGCAGTTCACAAGTAAAATACATTGTATGTATCCCAAAGCCAAAGAATTACATTCACCATAGTAGTACTTGAAAGCAAGATGCATTAGGACAGACTTAGTTATGCTGCAGAATAAACTGAAAAGTATGACTATATACATACTATGGTATTTCGATGTCCGTAAGTACAGATTAAAGCAAACTACTCATAACAAATTGCAACCCTGATGATTCTGTGGCTGGGCAAGATATGGGAGGCTATCAATGGACCTCTTTCAACACCAACCTTTACAAGCTTCACTAAGAGCTTAACTCAGTTGAATTACTCCCCCTCCTCCTTTACATACAGCTCTTCCTAAATGCAGTCAACATTAGCCATACAGAATCGCAACACAAAATGTTGAGATCATCATAACCTCTACAGAACAGGTCAAGTTACCTTTTCTGCCTACAACTTAACTCCAGCTTTATAAAGAAAACACTGTCTCTCTTCCAAACTTGCAGGACTTCTGATGCACAGTAATGAGCAAACAAGTCTGATATAAAAGCTAACATTTCCAGCATTTACTTTGACATAACAAAACTAGAAATGGGAGTAATAATTTTCAAAATCTTAAAAACAACATAACCATAAAATTAAAGTTGGCTTAGATCTTGGAATCCAAAATTGACAGAAATAGATGATCCTGGGCACATAATCAAGAACTAATGATGAAAGCTCTTGTAACACATGTGAGAATAAGATACAGCATTCAATAAACCTGGGGACAGTATTTCAGTGTCAGAGTGTCAGAGTAATTACATTTCTTGGTGTGTTCTGATCAAGTTACTAGGTTCTGCAAATTATTGGAGAAAGTAGAAAAATTTGTTGAAGAGAAGCAGCATAACTCAGTCTCCACAGATCTAGAGAGAAAACAACTCATTGCATAACTTCTTTAAACATCAATGTGCCCAAGCCAAAATTTCTTTTTTGGTAGTAGTGATCTGTGCTAAAGCCCAACAGCATGTACAGACATACTTGTAATGCCTTATCTGAAGTATGAGCCTTAGAGAAGGTATCAAAGTTAAATTCAGTTTTCTGGCCTCTTCTGCTTTTTCAAGATACAGATTAACATACACCTTGCAACGTATTAACCTGCTGTTCACTTGAGCTGAATGAAGTTCAGTTTTAGATAAGAATATAACTATCTTTAGCACGAGTTTAAAAAAGCGTAACTTTTGTTTGCATGGTGAATATAATCAAGACATAAATACACACACACACACTGTATGAATATGGCCATTGCGGTTTTCCTTTCTGAAGGATTGAGAATTATCTGTACATTCTCAGCAGAGATTTACCAGATTCTCTAAGGCTTTAAGGCTTCTCTAAGCTGTATCAACTGATACATTTATCTACTGGTAAAGCAGACACAGCAGTAGAAAAAGCAAGGAAGAAAAAGACAACTCGTATTTGGGCCATAATATCTAGGCAAGATATGGTAAGAATGCCCCTCTGCAACCAAAGGTAGTTTTTTTCTGGAAATAGGAAGAAGGCATTACTGCTTAATTGTTTGGGTATTTTGTTGATTGGGGTTTTTTTAACTGGTAAACTGGAAGTGACATCAAAATATTACACAGTCTGAGCATCTGCAGTACGAGTTAACAGTTAGGAAGTGGCTGCTACATTGCCTTGGCCTGTAGCATGAAGTATTTAACCACCTAAACATATCATACCTCCTCTTTAAAATGTCATGATTGTAAAAAGCATTTAATCTAACAGTAACCTATCAATTTGCATCTCAGGGGAAAATGTTTTCTGCTCTGTTTAACAGATATGTTACAGGATAGCACACAAGAACCTTCAACTACCATTATTTCTTGGTTGTAGTATTTTGTGCCTAAAAAGAACGACCTTTCTGTATAATAGTTACTAACTTGTGTAAGTCTATCAAACACATAACGTTGTTACCTTTCTTCAATTCTATTCTTGTCCATAAGTGGTTGTTTGATCCACTGATTAACTAGTCTTTGTCCTTGAGGGGTTCTGCATTTATTTAGCAAACCAGCTAGAGACTGTGCAGTATTAGCATTTTCCACGGAACTCTGGAAAGGAAAAGAGGAAAGGGGGAGAGAGGAAAAAAAAAAAAAAAAAGTAGTGAGTTTCTGTTCCTCAACATTGCTACTGAGGAACAGATCAGTGTTTTTTCTGTATATTCAACCTGGCACCTATCAAAAAAGGCAAATGAAACAACATAGCATTAAAGCACTTACACTCTTGTCCCTGGAACGTGGAGAAAAAATGAACAGGTTTGTCCGTTTTGAAACTAGCTGACTGAATAGGAGAGTTAGAAACATACCTAGTCACTGGGTAGTTTGCCATTTGAATAGGAAAAGTGGAAATATACCTAGATACTTGCTAGTTTGCCCTTTGTAAGGCCAAAAAAATAACGGTCCTGTCCACCAAAAAAAAGCAGCAAGAAACAGGACTTGGGTTCAAGGGTTTTGGCTAGAGATCTTTGGAGGGTGCTGGACAGCGGGGACATAACAGAACAAGTCAATGGGAGAGAACTCAGTTATTATCCAAATTCTCTCAAGCTCCCCAAGATCATCTTTGAAGTACTATAAACATCTCTAAACTTCCTCTGTTCAGATTATAGTTTACTGCCTATAGTTAGAGTTTTAATATTAAATGGACTCAAGACAGCCTTTTGGGCATTTTTCTTGGGGTTTTGTTAGGTTTTTTGCACAAACAGCTAGGAAGCAAAAATTTTGTTTACCACTGAAAAACAGCAAACAAGTTTGTTTCAACTCTTAACTTTGAAATGAAAATCTCAACCCTCTCTACCCAAGAACATCTACATTTAAAACAGCAGGCAAGCATTCAAACAGCAGCAGGTCTGGATGCCTGTAAACAACTGAGATGTAGAACTAGCATTCACTACAACAGTAGGAAGGTATACTGACACATTTAACCCCTGGAAAATCTAAAGTGGATGTGTCTATTTTCAGTGTTCTGGACAGTATTACATATGAAAAACTTCTGAATCCAAGAAAGTGTCACAGAGTACATATATTATACATGAATAACCTATTTCGGCACATCCGAGTTGGAAGCTTACAGTTTCATATAATCAGCAGCATCTGCTGCACCATAAGAACTTTACCTACATACCTCACAGAGCAACTCAAATTACAAAATATTTTGCCTTTCCTTTAGTGCCTGCCCAAAAAGCTGCCCACAGACAGCCTGCCACACAGGCAATGACACAGCTTCCTGCTACACAGCAAACCCCTTGTTCCAAGGCTCACAACAGGCCCTAAAGACAGACATGGCAGTGTATTTCCTATCACAAAATGCGTAACACCTATAAGGACTCACAAAGGGATACAGCTAAGACAGTGTTGAACTTCCTAAAACACCTCTGTAAACCTTGAGAAGAGATAGAATTTTTGCTTCATTCTCTAGACAATGGCACAGACTCAGGAAATACAGAAAAAGAAGCAAAAAGAAAAAAAATCAGAACATCTCTCTCGAGTTAACCAGCTCAGATGCTGAATATATGCTCTTTTTTTTCCCCTCTATAAGCCCCTCTAGGGTCAACAGAGGACATATATTTATGATTTCTTCCTATAAACCTGAAACTCAAGTGGATTAACTCCAAGCAAAGAATTAAGGGTTTACTAACATGAAAACAAAAGAAAAAATGTGATACAATACAGCACTTTGAGACCCCATTTTTCTACAACCATGAAAAGGGACAAACCAGAATAACACACACAATGGGAGGTATGAAGAAGACTGGTAACCTGCTTGGATTTGTAGGAAATGTGTGTAAAGAGTAAAACTGACACTGGCCACTTAGCATGCCACACTGCTTTCAGAATGTTCTTAAGTACTGTCCTGTTCATTGCGCTGCCTGCTGCAGCCAGCCCCCCCTTTCCATCACCACCAACAGTACTCCAGCCATATCCCTCCAGTACTATCTAACTCAGGCTTCTATTTTCTTTCTCAAAAACAGCATTACTGTATAAAGCAACTGTGCTTTGGAGTTCCCTATCATACCACAAAACTACAGAGCTCTCTTCCCCTCCCATACCCCAAGTCTGCTCCTAACACTGGAGATGTGAACTTCTTTAACTAAAACCAAGGAAAGACAAAGCATTCCCCCCACTGCTTCGACAGGCTCTGCAGCACCTACAACCATGAGGTGCTTAGAAGGCTCTTCCCGTACCTGCATTCTTGTGTAGACACTTGTGTGTGGCCACTTCCTACCTCTTTCATGATCTTGTCTTCTACATTCAAAGTAAGCTAATAAAAAGGTGTTAACTGTGGCTACCTATGTTTAAAATACACACTGTACAGGAGTAGCTGAAAACAAAGCCAAAATGTAGAAGTTGCCATTAATCAGGATCTGAGGAGCTGTGATTGGGCAGTCAGGCTACTTATCAAGCAGCTAAATAAGCATATTGCAAAACACTTACCAATTAAGTGTGCATTTCTTACCTGAAAAAGGTTGAGAGCTTGAACAGCTGCATTATCTAGAATCATATATTGACTAAGATCAAAAGTAGTCAGTTCAAATTGTCCAAAGTTAGACTCATCTGACAGCAACTCTAAAAACTTGATAATGGCTGACAAAGACGAAACAGCAACCTGAAGTTTAAAAAAAAAAAAAATTTAAAAAACACCCAGAAACATTCTAGTTAGAAACACTCTTGAATTGGGGATTATTTGATAAATGCCTCCAGAATATTACAATCAGGGGAAGTTTTTGAGCCACATCACTTCCAGCAAGGCCATGAGAGACTCAACCTGTTTGACAAGACTTCATTTTCATAGGGACGTTCTACGGCACTTCAGCGTCTTTCTAGGTAGGTGCAAGAACAACGAACTAGGCATTTGCATAATCTGATAAACAAAACGTGAAGTGCACGCCTCACCAGCTTTCCAAAGCTGTTATCAGGATGTTTCTGGCTCAGGAACACAAACAAGTTATTGCAGATAAATGAGAACTCATGGATCATCTCAGGACATGGTTTCAGGGTTAGTTTTCAGCCAGCACAAGGATCTGATCTGACTCACTGCACAGCCTTACAAAGACTAGTGCCAACACAGAAGAGAGGCAGAAGCATGACTGACTTGTTCAGCTGCAACACACTTCCAACAATTTTAACCTGTTATGAAATCACACATTATGGAAGAATAATTCTAACTTACACCTGCAGTGAGGATCAGCGATGAAGGACATTTTAAAACAAATTAAAACATGTTTATCTCAAGAAAACTACCTCTTGTTTGCAACTAACAACAAACATGTTCAGTTCACATGCACACACTAAATGATATGCCTGAGCCATAAGATGGTATAAAACACAAAAATATTACCATAAGCATTACTTTGTTTTCAAATACCAATTCTCCTGTCATGCAAAATAATCAAAATATTGTATTTCAGTCCTTAGGCTAGATAGATTATGAATAGGAAGCATCTGTTGTGCACACTCTATTTGCTTACCAGAGTTTACTACTTTAAACAGGTAAGCGAAGGGTTTTCTGATTTTTTTTCAGGACCCCTGGAAAACAACTTTGACACAGAATCAAGCTGATCAGAACTGATCAGTTCAGCAAGAACGTATCTTAATATGCCACGAGTTGTGCAATATGCTTTCCCAGAAGCATGGGAATCCAGCATAAAACAGGACCAGTGGGGACAATGAAGATCAGCTCACAACAGGTGCTCACACCATTCTGCTACTAAAAAGCAGGAGCACATTAAACATTGCTCTGTGCTCACCTGCTTTTCCATCTCTGGCAATGCTGCACTATTCATTTGTTCTTCTTTTTTTGATTTTAACAAGCGATTGAGATCCTGAACAATATCTTTTGTCGTGAAATCCGCCTTCTTCCTGTCTGTAATCAGGATTCCTCCCCTCTGAATGACCTGTTGTCCATAAACATGCACAGTTATCAATTACTTTCAATATTTAGGGGACAGATGTTCATCACACAGAAGCAAACCCTGAAGAGATTTATTTACTGCTAGGTTGCACAGAGAAGAATGACAGACAAGATTTTACCCTTAGAGCAACTTTGGTGATTAAAATGCAATTGAGTCAACAGACAAATAATACATTTTGGGTGCATAAATCAAAACTTCTTTGAGTTAACATACAGCTCCTTCATTTTTCCATAAATCGTGGAGCCTAGCTAGTAAGCTAGAATACAGCTTTTTAGATGAAGTTTTGTCTAGCCGTAAGGCACAATGGTTCCCTTACTTGTCGTAGTTTTGCCATCTCTCCTGCAGTCTCTCCTCCTGGTAGCACACACTCCTTTGGTCCTAGTTGAACCAGCAGAGCTTCAAGGTTTGAGAACTGATCATTATCTGGAAACTCACAGACACTCAATTTTCTCAGTGTAGTGTCGACATACCCAACTCCTACTACTCTTTGTCCGTCAGTAGTAGACAGCTTAACCCCCACAACCCCAATGGCCGATGACATATCATTGTTGGCAAAGAGAACTTCCTCAAACTGGGAAAGATTTCCTGGAGAACCCTATTTAGAAAAGAAATATACTTTTAAAGACTGTGTATATACACACATACTTTTTTTTTCAAGTTTTAAAAGGACAACAACTGATAAAACTGAGTACTGAACAGTCCATTAATATAAAACTTACAGCTGTTTTATTTTTTTAACCATTAAAATTTTACTTATCATCTATACAATGTGAATTACTTCAGGTTTCCTTTATTTCCCAACCTATGGCAAACATACAGAACAAGCTTTTACAGCCTTAGAACAGTAGAAAATACAGGGATATATAACAGACTGCACAATTTACCAAATCCCTGAAAATCCCTAAACTCCAAGCTAAGGAGCTTAGGAAACAGTCATGGGGTTTTTTTTCTTTTATATCACAATTATAAAGAAAGGTTGAAAATTGTACCTTGTACGCTAAATACCAGTCATTTTCTTTGATAGATTTACTGCCTGCTTTGTTCTTGTAAACTTCAACTCTGTAATGACGAACCAAAAGCAGATCTCTCACAAAAGATTCGAAGTTCATTTTACTAAGCACAACACTCTCAAGCTTCTGAGTTCCTACAAAAAAGGAAAAAGGAAAATTATGAGTTATCTGAATTTTTTAATGGAGTTTATTTTCTGTAATCAAAATCCCCAGACAGCCTTCAGGAAGGGCATTAGTCTAATGTCAAAAGACACAAACATGAAATCCATGAAACAACACAAACTCACAACATTCAACTGGTTAATATTAAGCATGAAGGAAGCATACTCCATATCCAAATGAAAAACAATGTTCATTTCTAAATCACACTAAATCTATATGTATATATATATACACACACAGAGATCTGTTCCTCTCGCCCTTCCCCTCTCTTTACAATAATCTTGATTTGGTTTTCTAATTAATGTTTCACACATTTTAATCAAATGAGTGGTGGAATTCTGCTACACGTTTTCCTTGTGGATAACACCTTTTCTTGCCTGGATGAGCCACTTCTGTCGACAGAACAGACTGTCACCCTATTTGCACTCAGAAGATGGCATGAAACACATGCCAAGACACTTCCCTTTTACCACAATATATACTGCAAAAACAGCATATACAGCATATTCTCAAAAAAGTTTAAAAGTCTACATTAAAACCTAACTTTGAAAGTGCCTAATTGACAAACTACTTGCTTCTGTTCCTATAAGGGTGCAGGCAGATGATACAGTTGAACACGTTTAATTCTGTACAGCTGCCAAGAGCAGCAGTACAACTTCTACCTTCCCACCTCCCGTGCCACCTCTGGCACCAGCCTACTCACAGAGTAAGATAATTCCACTACTAAACAAATTGGGGTTTTGGGTGGGTATATTAAGTCTTCTGCCAGACTGGCAAGTGGAATTAACTCAGACTGGTGTCGGATACACAAGAGCTAGATGACATAAAAAGTAAGCACAAGCAATAGATAGGGATTATCACATCCCTCTTTTCAGCAGCATGCCTTCATTGCACTTGAGGCTCTTCCTCCCTTTACATAAAAGCTGTTAGACAGCGAATTTCCACACCGGTAAGAACTTATGGGTTTATTTTAAATGGGATTTTTTCATTTTATTTCCTCAACTCTCGAGTACAACTTTTTTTGGAATCAGATAAAAAACTAATTCCACATAATTAGGTTCTCTTTCCCAGTGGCGAACTGTTCAACAAAACACTTTTTTTTTTTTTTTCTCAGCCAAGACTACATAATACACTAGCAAGGGGCGGAGGGCAGCTGAAGCTGATGTGTGCTTTGAAATCATACTGAAAGCAAAAAATGTAGTTTTATGCTGATTTTTAGTTGGATACACTAGACAAGGCTTTAAAGGTTTTAAAATCAGACCTGAGAGTCACAGGCTTGCATCTGTGAAATGATCACTTTTAAATGGAATACAAAAATAATACTGGTGCATGTGTTTCTAGTCTGGAAGACGTATCAAAATCTACACTTGAAACTATCAAGCTCTACAACTTCTCCACAAGCCTTTTTTTTGTGAGGTGATGGGGTTTTTCTACATATTAGCTCATCACTTTCAATAAAAAGTGAAAAGCTTACAAGAATGCCGTTCTCTTTCTAATGTCACTGCACACACACACACACAAAATCATTCATAAGAAAGTCTTATTTTGCTAAGTATGAGCCAATAACTTTGCAACACTATGTTCCTCGAGATTAAGGGTAATAACGTTTGCCTCTTCTGACAAGATAACTTATCTCGATGCTCTTACATCCAACATCTGCAAGCTCCACCATCTTATACCAAGGGATAAACAAAAAGCAACAGGGGCTAGATGGAAGAGAAAAACCTTATGCAATACATAATTAAGTGTTATTTACTTCTGCAGGCCATCTTTAGTCAAACATGACATTACCATCATTTACCTATCACCTGCACTATAGAACTGCATGAGCCCCATCCTCAGTAATCACAGAAAATATCATGCGATCATTTTCACAAATGGCAATCTACCAATGTGCTGGGAAAACACTGTTAACTGCCGTTCACCTATGCAATATGTTGTGTTCAACTACCCACATCTAACAGTCCTGCAATATGAGTTTACATGAAGAGAAGTAATACTCAGATCCACGCTTTCTGCTGGAGATACCTTCCTACGTTTGCACACCCACATCTGTCACACACATCCTACTCTGAACAGCTACTAACCATCATTTCAAGGCTGTGACAGGCTGAAGAAAAAAGATTTGCATTCAGTTATGCTTGCTTCCAAGGCGCAATGAATCACAGCGGGCATTAAAATCCAGAGACCTCTTAATGTCTCCCTTCCCGCATTTACCAACGCGGAGAAGAGGAGCAGCATGTACCCCTACCCCCCCCTTGCCCCCCAGCCACCCCCGGGGTGCTGCAGCCTCCGGCAGCACCCCTGCACCGGCCTAGAGCGGGAAGACAACAGCAATGCCTCAGGCTCTGTCCCATCTTTGAAAACGGATGCCACAGGGAACTTAAGCCCAAGGTAGCCACGAAATACCGCGACTGAACGCGAAAACGAGCGTGGCGTCCCGACCCGAGTGACACCCCGGAGGCCTCGCCCTTGAGAAGACGCCGCTGCTGCCACCGGCACCCCCC